CATATAGATTTTTAGCATGAAATTATTTTTAGAAAGTAGAGAGATGTTACCCTTGAAAGAATAAGTTCAGTATCTCCTTGCAGTTCTGCACTTAGTTGGATTCGGCTAAGGTGAGCTTGAATCAATAAATTGGTCTTCACATGAGGATCATTGTAACGCACTGGATTTCCTCCTGTGCCAGAGGGTTTGTTTGGCAATCGGTTGGCCAGCTGGCGAAGAACTGCATCCTCATGATGACGAACAGGGACATCTTCATACTCGGCGGCTGAAGATATAATTTCCAAGAGTCCTCTAATCTTTGTCTTGCTATTCAATGATAAACTGAACAATTCTATTGTTGTATAATTGATATAGTAGTAAGCAGCAATCATTCCTAAGTTGAGGGGTAAGCAATCCATCTCATCTTCAACACTAATACACTGTAAAAGAGGAAAGAAAATACATGTAAAAAATGTTATGTAGCATGTAATAAAAAAGGGGGTAAAAGATAAAAAGGATAAGATACCTTGGACTGTTCCAAATCACTAAGAGTGTTTTCCACAAGTTCTGATAAATGATCTGATAGATGTCTGTGAGAAACTCCTTGCAGGTTGTAATAATTGGGGTTCTGGGTGAGTCTTCTATAGATAAACGTCCATGTTAGATAATCTACAGCATCTTGTTTGTTTTCAATTGTTTTGGTAACAATCTCAGCATTGAAGTGATCATGCAATCTGTGATCCAAATGGCTCTATAAGGATGAGAAAAATACATGAATTAGTAAGAGCACCTGCCAAACTATCTACACTCACTAACAACAATCTTGCTTTATAGTCTCACTTAATTTACCTCAACTGGAAGGGGCTCATTCAGGAATTTCTTAAAGAAATCTTTCTTTGATGTCTGACACATCAATACACATTTGGCATCATCATCCTCTTGAGGCCTGTTTGCAAACCCTATCATTTGTAGCACATCAGTGACTGGGTAGTCCTCATAAGCATGAATCTGAGGGGAAAAATAAACACACACACAAAACATATTAGACACAAGTTAAACTACATGTTGACATAATTCATAAAAATCATTTTTAGAAAATTTTTTACCTTTCCATTGTACAGTTGTGTGTCCATTACAATAACAAGATGAGCAGCCATAGTTATTCCCCAACACAGACTGCGCGTCACAACAGCCACTTGAATGGCACCAGAGTCGTACAGTTGCTCCACAAGCCTGTGGTCACTGGGGGAAAGCCCTTCATGAACATAGGCAACGCCTTGGCCGAGTGTCTCCTTCAGTGTCTAAAGAGCGAGAAAAAGGCGCATTAGTAGAATAAAACAGGGGGTCGGGGTGTGCTTAGGGATTTTAATTATCCAGAAAAGTATTTATGGATTTTTTTTTC